GAAGGGAAGGGAAGGGAAGGGAAGGGAAGGGAAGGGAAGGGAAGGGAAGAGGAAGGGAAGATCAATAGTGTGAGTGTCCTGTGAACAGTCCAGGACAGAGGATAGGGCATAGAAAGACAAAAAGGGACTGCCAGCAACTTCTGTGTTAAATCGACAGGAAGATAATCTGGATGTGGCTAGATGTTTAATAACATTAGGAAGCCAGTTAGCAGCTGAGAGGGAGAGGAGAGAAATTTAAAATAATCATGGTGGAGGGCAGGAGCCTGCACTGACCAGAGAAATGCCCAGAAAGACCAAAGCCTATTGAATGAGTGCACTTGGTGAAGGTGAACTTACAAAGGAGCCATTGTGCCTCATGAGTGGCTTTTCCCTGGCAGTCCTTGAGAGCTGAGTTATTTGACTTTTTATTGTCTTCTTGGGGCAAGGACTTCCTCCTGATTCCACTCTATCATCCTGGGAATTTTTTTCCTACAGATCCAGGAAGAGGGAGGAAATGAAGGGAGGCTCAGAAAGAAGCAGTTTAACTTATATGAAAAATATTTTGACTAACTCATTGAGTTTGTCAAGTAAAACAGTGAGCAATGTGAGACCTGGAGAGAGGAAGAGAAATTCAGAAGATTCTGAGACAAATGTTAAGGACAACTGTTAGAAGAAGGCTAGTGGTAAGTTTATCATATCACCTTAATTCAGAGCTTGCTCTCACTGCATTTTGTTTTGTGGTTGAGTGAGGAAACCCTTGCTCAGAGCTCAGAGTCCTAACACTTCCTCGAGTTAATCTCTGAGATGGTTCTCTGAAGGGGATGGTACATAGGGTGTGTCTGTCTCTGCATTTGCTAGCTCCTTCCTCCTTGCCTGCCACTCCTCCCTCCCCCCAGTTCCATGCTGTCTGCAGATTAAATAGACATTAAGAGTTTCCTGTTATGACAACCTCTTCACAGCCAGGGCTGGTGGGAATGGCCCTTAGTTTAGTGTTGCTGGCACTCAGGGGATGGTAGGTTATATGCTAAGAGAAAGAATGTGAGTGTAGTGAGTTCCTTTTGCAGAGAAGGGGTGGGGGGGAAGCATTCCTGTCTAGGACCTTGAGATCCTTAATCAGAGCAGAATACAGACTCATTCTCCATGGAAAGGATTACAAAATCCATGATGACAATATAATTTAAAAACAAAAACAGGGGCGCCTGGGTGGCGCAGTCGGTTAAGCGTCCGACTTCAGCCAGGTCACGATCTCGCGGTCCGTGAGTTCGAGCCCCGCGTCGGGCTCTGGGCTGATGGCTCAGAGCCTGGAGCCTGCTTCTGATTCTGTGTCTCCCTCTCTCTCTGCCCCTCCCCCGTTCATGCTCTGTCTCTTTCTGTCCCAAAAATAAATAAAACATTGAAAAAAAAATGAAAAAAAAAATAATTTAAAAACAAAAACAAAAAAGCCAGTTTTCTGGGGGTCAGGAGTCCATCTTGGAAAGATCGTGTCTGCATCTAAGCACTGCCCATAGCCCAGCTCTGTGTGTCTACAGAGTCTCAAAGCACAAGAGAGAAAAAACGCCAGTGAGTCACCAAGTCTAGCTATTTGCTGGGAAGGTGACTTCAGAGGGAACCCAGCCAAAGCTGGAGGCATTTGTACAGCTGGAAACTAGATTACCAGGCTGGCCCTGTTTATGTGGGACATACTGACCTGGGAAGGACTAGAGCTCCTTTAGTCCTAGGGGTGGTCCAAAGCTGGGAATAGTAACTCTGATTCCTTTTAGAATAATCACATTCTTTGCAGTTTGTTTATATTAACATCTTTTTGTGTCTCTCTTCTGGGCAGGCCCCTCCTAACCTCCTAACTTGAGGACTGATTGAACTTCTAGGCGTTACTCCCAATGACCCAACTTTGAACTAACTGCCCATGTGGCAAGGTGATGTGAAGATACTTTCATTCTGAAGGAAGACTCTAACAATACAAAGGAATGAATATCTAATGTTGGAACTTCAGGTACATAAAGTGTCCAAAGATGTTTTGGGCCAGGATGTTCTACCTTGTGCTGTTCAAATGATCGACTAGGTAGCCTCCTACTTTACCCTCTTGAGAGGTTGGCTCTGCCCTTTGGAACTTCAGAAACATCTGGCTCATTGTCCTTCTCAAAGGTTAGTGGATTTCAGTTCATTCCAAGGACTTACTGATAATGGGTATTTATAACTTGATATTATCAGTGGACAGTAGGTAAGTGCTTTTCTCGTCACTTTGATAGCAAAAGGAGAGTTCGTTTACATGCTGTCTTCAGGTATGGCGGGGAGGTGGATTTTACTACCTTCTTTTATAGAACAGGAATATTAGGAACCCCAGGAGCTGAGGCTGCGAACTCTCAGAGTGTCACCACAGACATGGAGTGAGCACTCTGCCTCTCTCATGAGTCTGTCTGGCTATCCACAACAAAGGAGGCAGCCAATTTAAGATAATAAACCCAACGAAGGGGCTGTCTTCACATTTTTATTTTCTACATCAATTGGTTTGGAGCATTTGAGCTTTGTAATTACACATTTCTCCTCGTTTATGCTTTCGCTAGTGATTTGCCCTCTCTTGGCCTTTAAACAAGCCAGTTTAGCAACCATGCATTCTGACATGGGGTTTTTATAGCACACACAAAGGGTGTTTCTAAAACACACAAAGGATTTACGTCACAGATATCCAGTATAAGGCTGTGTCTGCTCTATTTTAATAATGCTCTTAAAAAATAATTTATGAGTTCAATGTGCTCCGGTTCATTAGTTTAAATGAAAACTTAAATCATTCCCTAAATTATAAATTATTTTTGACTTATTTTCTAAAGCTAGGAATAGTACCACTGATTCTTTTTAGGATAATTGTATTCTTTACAGTTTATATATTTTAAAATCCTCTTAGCCATTTACGAGCTTTGTCTCTGTGTCTCGGTTTCCTCACCTGTGAAACAGACCTAATAATAGTACCTTACCCACAGCATTATTACTAAAATTACATGAAGAAATTCATGTCATTAATGCCCTTAGCACCGTCTAGAGTGCTCTACCAAACTTAGCTATTGTTAGCATATTATAATTATTTTGAATTACAGAAGTAATGTGTGTTGTTGTAAAAAAAAAAAAATCCAAAGAATTTGGAGGTTTATAAACTAAAGAGTAATCGTGTCCACTCTTCACCAGCCATACCCGGTCCTACTTTCTAGAGATAGCCACTGTGTATCGACTGCAGTTTTTCTCTGCGCTTAGAACTTTGCTTGCCATCTAGCAACTGGCCATGGACATCCTTCCAGAGCAGGTTCCCTAGAGCCCCCTCTTTACATAAGATGGGTATTAGCTCCTCACCCGATCTGTCTGTGGCTCTGATATGTGTTTAGGTCAGCTTTGCACATTTCTGTGCAGTCAAATCCTTGCTCTTTCCTTACACCTTCTGGGGTATGTAGAATGCATAGGAAGACCTTCTCAGGGACCAGCATTTAGAAATACACTTCCCAGAACTGGAAAATAAAGACTTGCACAATTCAAGAGAAATTTTGGAAGATACATTACACATTAGTGTGAGTGTATTTTGCTTTTTACTGGAGAAGTTCAAAGACTGAACTGCTTTTAGGTGTCATGGACAATGCTACCTTCAGTTAAAGATGAGAAATACAGGAATGAAGACATCTTCCAATCTGCACAGCCTCTTCGTGGCACCTGCAGGCTTTTTAGAGGTCATGGTGTGGAAAGAATGGGGGGGAGAAGTCAGTAATTTGGTGCTCGATGTAGTTCAACCTGTGATTTAACCAGCATGGAGTGTAAGAAGGTGGCTTTACCTTATTTCATTTCAGAAGGTTGTTGTCAAAGATCATAACAGCAAAATCATTTGGAGACTCAAAAATTACCAACAAAGCCAGCTGAAGCCAGCAGCTCTTGGCAAGTTCTGTCAAGTTCTCTGCATTCTTGCTCACATCCAGGCATTGAGACACTATCTTTGAGAACATGACTCAAAGGTATTTTCCAAAAAGACAAGTGGATATTTAAAAAGAAAAAAAATTTTGAGTGATTACTGTATCTTTGACAGTGACGTATTTCCATAAATATTTCACTACTCATGTTTTTCCTACATTTTTCTTTTTTTCTTAGTAAACACATACTGTGTCTATGTAAAGTCAGCACAACTGGCTGAAAAATATGAGGCCCACTATTTCAAAATAATTTTGTTAGGAGTTGTGTGAGATTTTTGAAGATAAAAAGATAGTCTCCACCCATAATCTAGTTATTTATATTCTTTTTATTTTCTAGACTTTTTAGGGAATAATTTAGAAAAATACCAAGCAATTAGGAGTAGAATATCTTATATTTTGAGATAAGGACAATTCTCTGTGTGCTCTATCCTGTTAATCAATTGGTGTGCTGCTCAGACATATTATTTTTAAAGGCACGGTGTAGCAGTGTCCTCCGATGATCCATGCCTTTATGTACTCCTCTCCCACAATGAATCAAGCCCTGAATGACTCATAGAACACATGGGAGGGGATAGTGTGTGACTTGGCGGTCTAAGTTTTTGAAGATATGGCAGCTTCCATCTTGGTCTCTTGGATTGCTTACTCTAGGACAAGGACTGGAATTAGGGCTAATGGGCAAAACCCAGCCTGCAAATTGTTTTTGCATGCCTGTGAGCAAAGATTGGCTTTCTTATTTAAAAAAAAAATTTTTTTTTTTAATTTATTCATTTTCGAGAGACAGAGAGAGAGATCGTGAGCAGGGGAAGGGCAGAGAGAGAGAGGGAGACACAAAATGTGAAGCAGGCTCCAGGCTCTGAGCTGTCAGCACAGAGCCGGAGGTGGGGCTCAAACTCATGACCTCAGCTGAAATCAGACGCTTAACTGACTGAGCCACCCAGGCTCCCCTCCTATTTTTAAAATAGTTTTCTAGGGGCACCTGGGTGGCTCAGTTGGCTGAGCATCTGACTCCTGGCTTCAGCTCAGGTCTTTAGTCTCACGGTTCATGAGTCAGAGCCCCACATCAGGTTCTGCACTGACAGCACAAAGCCTGCTCGGGATTCCCTCTCTCCTACTGTCACTTCCCCTTCTCTGGCTCATGCTCTCTCTCTCTGTCTTTCAAAATAAATAAATAAACTTAAAAACAAAAAATCAAATATAGTTTTAAAAATTTTATTATTATTATTATTATTTTAGAGAGAGAGAGAGAGCACGTGTGCACTGGTTAGAGGGGCAGGGGGAGAGGAAATCTTAAGCAGGCTCCAGGCTCAGCATGGAGCCCAACGTGGGGCTTGATCCCATGACCCTGGGATCATGACCTGAGCCGAAATCAAGAGTTGGACACTCAACGAACTGAGCCACCCAGGTACTCCTAAAATAGAGTTTATTAAAAAGGGGAGAATATGTGGCAGACTGGAGGTGGCCCACAGGGCTTAAAATATTTGCTGTCTGGTCCTTTACAGAAAAAGTTTGCCACCCCAGATCTGACGAATGCAGGCAGCTTGCTGTGAACACACTTATCTGGAGTGCCCTGGGCCTCAGGCGGTCCTATGAAAAGGCCAATATGGAGAGAACCGGAGGCCTCCCATCCAGAGCCAACACAAACTTCCTCGTCATGAGTGAATCAGCAGGGAAGTGGAGTCTTCAACTCCAGTTCAGCCTTCAAAAGGTTTCAGCCTTACCTGCTATCAGCCCGTATCCTCATGAGACACACCGAGCCAGAACCATCTAGTCAAACCACTGCCAAATAACTGAAGCACAGAAACCATAGGAGATAATTAAAGATCAAGTGTTATTTTAAGCCTCAAAGTTTTGGGGTAATTTATCAGGCAGCCATAGTAAATAGAATATATTATGTATTGTCCCCAGGTAAAATGCTCATTCACTTCCTTTAAAAGTTCTTGGAGGTAGGAAGAATATAAACACATAAAAATCTTCATCACCCTATTATATCTGATGATCTCAAAGCTTTGCAATAACTACTAAGACCTCAGACATCACATTCCAATAAAGGTATAGGAATCAAATTATTTCTTTAGTATTTATAAATATCATCAATGTTTTCATCTACAGCCTCTACAAACTGTCTTTGTTCCCTGCTGACATCATACTTTCATTATACCTGGTATTCTTCAAATCACTCGTTTGCAAGGAAAGTGAATTTAGAATTGCTAGCCATCAGTCTGTCAATGACGCCATCAAGCAATTTTGGTTTTTTTTCTAAGTAGTCCTGGAAGGCATTTATTGTTCCCTTTTCACAGGCAAGGAAGTTGAGGCTCACAGAGATTAAAGGGCTACAGCCACATAATTGGTTATTGAGAGCTAGGACTGAAGCTCAGCCTCCTGACTCTACACTAAGAGATCTTGTTTCTTCACCTCTGAGTATAAATAGTCCAGAGTGGCTTTGGGTTATAGGTCAGACAGTCTTTACCATTGTGCTAGTACTGACTCTAGAAATTAAGGTCCAAGCTTATGTTCATGATAAATATACACGGTCCAAGTGCTGGGTATCTATTGGCAAATAAAACCCACATCTTCACTTTCATGGATCTTCCGGTCCAGTCTAGGAGCTTACAGTCTATCTGATACGTATTTTTTTTTTCCTTGGACATCTATTTATTGCTTAATTAAGGCTTTATAATATTGCATGAATGAAAAGCAATAGGATGCCTTGAGACTCATCAATTACTTAACCCTTGAACTTTTGTAAGGTTTTCTTTCTTTCTTCTTAAAGCTAAATTCCCCAGATGGGTGAGTAATTAGATCAAGGTTCAGAATAACAAAGACAGATAAGGTAACTGCAAACAACATCATCCCACGTTGAAAGAGCTATTCTGGTCTTTCACCTAAAGTGACTTCTTTCTGCTGAAAGAGATTTGGCAGCAGCTAGCTTAGCTGATGGCAGAAAAATCAACCATGAAATATAAAGGTTTCATAAGATTGTGACATAACCCAGTTTTTTACAGCCATTATATAATCAATGGCAAAATAGCAGGGGGACCGAAATAACTTATACCTTACTTTTGGAATGCAATAAAATCTCTATTTTGCTGTCTCCACAGATTTAAAGTCCCTATTTTGTTTTGATGATGACTTCAATTAGTTTTCATTTCTTATGCACTAACCAATTGAAAGTGGTAAGAAAGGATGGTCAGAGGCATGCTATATGGCAAAGACAAGTCATTTCAGAATTCAGAAATTTGCTCCAGGAAGCCCATCAGAAAGATAAAACTTATTACGGAAAGGTCACAGGAGAATAAAGAAGAATTAGTTTATAAGCAAACAAGTATGTTTTTTCTTTTATTATTATTATTTTTTGTTTATTTATTTTTGAGAGAGAGAGAGCATAAGCAGGGGAGGGGCAGAGAGAGAGAGGGAGACACATAATCCGAAGCAGGTTTCAGGCTCCAAGCTGTCAGCACAGCCCGACACAGGGCTGGAACCCATGAGCCGTGGGATCATGACCTGAGCTGAAGTCGGACGTTTAACGGACTGAGCCACCCAGGCGCCCTAACAATGTGTTTTTCAAGGAAAGGGTGACAATGGCAAAATGTTCCAAGGTTTGTTTCACTGATAACAGGTCAGGAAGAAGGTATGTTTTTGAAACTTCTTGGAGAGTATAAGGGTTGAGTCAGATGGCAGTGGGGAATGCGGGACACCTGGGAAGAGACTTACTAATTCATGCATATAAAAATGCTTTTGAATCACTGGGCTGGGATCTGGACTACAAATATGAAATAGACACAGTCCTTGCCTTCAAGGCAGTTACAGTTAGTGGGAGAAACAGAAAGGGCAAAGGAATTTAATCATGGTAAATGGAGGAATGCAGGGCTTCTTAGGAGGGATAACTAACTTTCATTTGAAAAGTCAGAGAAGGTTTCCTGGAAGAATTCCCTAAAGCTGAGATCTGAAAGATGAGAAAGACCAAAGAAGAGTGTTCCTAAGGAAGCAAACTGTCTACGTAAAAAGCTCAGGGGCGAAAGCAGGCAAGCACAGAGTATTTAAGGAAAAGAAAAGAGTGTACAGGTGGAGGGTTGGGGGATAGTGGTGGGAGATAAGGGATAAGGGTCCTCTAAATCTAGTAAAGAAGTTTGAGCTTTAGCCCCAGCGTAAGGGAGTGGTGTGCTTAAACTTCATTAAAACAAAACAAAACAAAACAAAACAAAACAAACAACTGGCTGCAAGAGAGTTGGAAAGCTGTTGTCATCCAGGTGGTAGATAATGGTGAGCTGTACTCAGAAAGTTGCTGTGTGGATGGAGAGAATTAAGAGATAGTCAGTAGATCTCTAAGAAAAAGAATCAGCAGGGTTATGGCTGTATACAGGACATGCTGACAAAGGAGGAAAAAACGTTCTGGCTTTGGCAACTAAATGGTCCAACTCACTGAGACAGCAGACACCGGGGTAGGAGCAGGTTGACTGAGAGGTGGGAGAAGTTTGAAATAAAGGTGACTGAAGGATATGTTGATTTGAATCTCAGGAGGAGCCTTTCAGGAGGCTTAGAGGTTTGGGAATCATGAGCATAGATGGGAAGGAGAAGATTCAAGACAGAATCCTGAGAAAGGCCCACAACGAAGAGAGAGAAGAGCTTATAAAGGAGATTTAAATGAATTTTTAAAAGAGGAAAAAGAAAAATAGGAGGGTGGTATCAGGGAAGCCCAGGAAAAAACATTTTCCAGAGGGAAGGCGTGATCAACAGTGCTCAATGCCATTGGAAACCAGGCTGAAGCATCAGACAAACTCCAGTTGAGGGACATTCCACAAAATAAGTGACCAGGAATCTTAAAAAACATCAACACCAAGAAATACAAAAAAGACTGAGGAATGGAGATTCGAGGAAACCAAAGAAACATGGAAACTGAGAATGCAATGCATGATCTCAGATTTTTTTTTTTTTTGCTGTATTTTCTATCATCTTTAATGGTTGTATAATAATTCAGATAATTTCATTTAATTATATTTGAGTTTGTCATTTTAGGAAACAAACAGGAAAGTAACTTAGTATTATTCCAGGCTTTCTGTAATCACAATTTGTGTTACTTTAGAAGAATGTTTTTAGGGCACCTGGGTGGCTCAATTGGTTGAGCGACGACTCTTCATTTCAGCTCAGGTCAGATCCCAGGGTCCTGGGATGGAGTTCTCCCCACAACCTCCACACTTAGCGTGGAGGCTGCTCAAGATTTTCTCCCTTTCCCTCTCCCACTTCCCAGCTCACACACATTCTCTCTCTCTCTCAAATAATAATAATAATAATAACAATAATAATAATAATAATAATATTTTATAAGATATATTACATGAAAAAGGGTGAAAATTGAATCTATACACTTTGACTACCAATGCTGGAAGAAAAAAATGAAATTTACAGTTGCTGTGTTAGGTTTGTCTAAATATGTTTTTACTTCTGCTTCTATTTTTATTTGTCTTCAAATTCAGCATGTGGTTGGCCAAACCTCAGCTAGCATTATTTAAAAAATTCTTCTCAAGTGAAGGACTCCCTAAATTACGGGATTCTATTCTAAGATAGGAATCTGTAGGAGGATGTGAGTGTACAGGACTCTTTCAAGAAGATGGTGAAATGGGACAATGACCTTCAGTCTCCTTTCTGTGATCCTGCAATTCTGGCACTGGTGTATGGCTAAGTCGCAGGCAACATACTAAAATATTTTCATTCTCTTTGTTAATTTCTCTCTACTCTTTATGTTTTTTAAAATGTAGGCATTTAAATTTTTAAAATTAAAAATGTTTCCTGTTTTCTTCAACGTCCACCAAGAGCATTTACCAATAAGCCTTTGGTAAAGTTTAGTCAAGGGCGCAAAATTTCACTGGCTTGGCCAATGCCCTCAGTCAAGATGGCGGTAGCTACATTCTATTGCCCTTACTTGCCCTCAGCAAAGGTGGCTCCAGTGACTTCCTTTCAAACCCTCTTTTCCCATAACAAATATGGCGCCTCCGCTTCCGGATTTGGCTGTGCTGCTGTTGCCGGTCGGTGAGTGTAAACGGGACTTTGCAATTTTTCTCTATCAGTTGTCTTCGTGGAACAAGGAGTACCCTGGGATTGGGAATCGGCAGGGAGTCTAGGCAATGTTATCAGATCAGTCTCATAGTTGGGAAGTTATGGCGGCTTCCCCTGGCACACTTCCAATTTCCCGTACCACCCCTCCTCCACCCCAACAACACATGGCCTCTGCAGACACCTCTTTGGGGAAACCCCGTAAATTTGCAGGCAGTGTGACCGGATGCCCTTGGGTTCTTCTCCTTTTTAAAAAGCAGCTTTTTAAAGCAATAAATACATATCATAAAATTCGCCTGTTTAAGATGTAAAATTCAGTGGCTTTTCATATATTTCCAGAATTGTGCAGCCATCCCTACAATCTATTTTTATCTTTATTTTTTAAAGTTTATTTATTTAGAGAGAATGAGAGCGAGAGCGAGAGCGAGAGAGAGAGAGAGTGCACGGTCAAGGAAGGCAGGAGCAGAGAGAGAATCCCAAGCAGGCTCTGTACTGTCATTGCAAAGCCCATCAGGGGTTCCAGCCCATGAACCATGAGATCATGACCTGTATATGACCTGAGTCCTGAACTAGAATCAAGAGCGGGATGTTTAACTGATTTAGCCACCCAGGCACACCCCCCCCCCACCCCAATCTAATTTTAGAACATTTCCATCACCCCAAAGAAATGCCCTGTGCCCCTTAGCAGTCTCCATTCACTTTGACCTTTCAGTTCTAGGCAGTTACTAGTCTACTTTCTATAGATTTGTCAATTTGGACATTTGATACAAATAAAATCATACAACATGTGGTCTTTCTTTACTAGTGTTAAAAGATAAACTGAGGCATATTTAAAATTCTAAGTTAATTTGAGACAAAAAGCAATTTGAATTGGGCAGGATCCAGTCTAGCAGATAGAAAGGAGCTCTGAGGAGTTGAACAAAATGAGAGACTTATAGGCAGAAGGGAGCAGGAACAAGAAAGTGATACTAGGCCAAAAAGCAGGTTGGTTATTGCATGGTTACTCCTCTTTAGGGGATGGCAAGGTTCTATCTGGCAGATTACCCAACTAGTGCTGATGAGGCGATTCCTGATTGGTTGTGGGGTTTAGCACAAGCAAAACCATTTTGGATCTGTTGTCTTGTTTTTTAACACTAGGTTTTTATCACTAAGTATACATGTGGCATGTATTCGAACTTAATTCTTTTATAAAGCTGAAAAATATTCCATGTGTGCATATACTACATTTTATTCATCCATTTATCAATTGATGGACATTTGGATTGTTATCACTTATTGTCTACTGTGGATAAAGCTGCTGAGGGGTGCCTGAGTGGCTCAGTTGGTTAAGCGTCCAACTTTGGTTCAGTTCAATGATCTCATGGTTCATGGGTTCGAGCCCTGCCTTGGGCTCTGTGCTGACAGCTCGTAGCCTGGAGCCTGCTTCCGATTCTGTGTCTCCCTCTCTCTCTGCCCCTCCCCTGCTCACACTGTCTCTCTCTCAAAAATAAACAAATATTAAAAAAAATTTTTTAAAAAAAGGCTGCTGTGAACATTTGTGTAATGTTTGTGTGGACATGTTTTAAAAAAAATTTTTTTTAATGTTTATTTATTTTTGAGAAAGAGAGACAGAGTGCAAGCAGGGGAGGAGCAGAGAGAGAGAGAGACACAGAATCTGAAGCAGGCTCCAGGCTCTGAGCTGTCAGCACAGAGCCCGATGCAGCGCTTGAACTCATGAACCATGAGATCATGACCTGAGCCAAAGTTGGATGCTTAACCAACTGAGCCACCCAGGCACCCCTGGATATATGTTTTTATGTCTCTTGAGCATATGCCTAGCAGTGGACTTCCCAGGTCCAAGTGTAACCTCGTTTAACCTTTTCCAAAGTGCTGGCAACTTTGTATGTGGATATCCACTTGTCTCAGTGAAAAGACTGCCCTTTCCTTTTCCTATGTCTTGGCACCCTGTGGAAAATCAATTGACCATAACTGTACATTTTACTTCTGGATTCTCAGTTCTATTCCATTGATCTATATGTCCATCCTTATGCCAGTACTCACAGTCTTGATTAGTGTGGCTTTTTACTAAGTTTTGAAATTAAAAAAAAAAAAAAAAAATGAGTCCTCCAACTTTGTTCTTTTTCAGGATTGTTTTAGCTATTTTGGGTCCCTTGAATTTCTGTATGAATTTTTTAAGTACTTTTGTCAATGTCTGCAAATAGAAAAAAACACACACACAACTGAGATGCAACTAAGAATTACACTGATCTATAGATCAATTCAAGCCATATTGCCATCTTAAAATATTAAAATATTAGATGTGTTTCCATTCATTTAGATTTTTAATTTCTTTCAACTCTTTATAAAACGATTTTATTTTTAAGTAATCTCTACATCCAACGTGGAACTCAAACTTATAACCCTGAGATCATGAGTCATATGCTCTACTGACTGAACCAGCCAGGAGCCCCTCTTTCAAAAATTTTTTTTCCAGTTTTCATTGTGCCTGTCTCACATATTTTTATTAACTATATTCCTAAGTATTTTATTCTTTTTGGATGCTGTTTTTTTTCTTAAGTGTATTATTTTTGGGGGAGAGTGTGAGAATGGGAGGGGCAGAGAGAGAGGGAGAGAAAGAATCCCAAGCAAGCTCTGCACTGTCAGCACAGAGCCCCTTGAGGCCCTCAGTCTCACAAACTGTGAGATCATGGCAGAGTCGAAATGAAGAGTTGGACACTCAACCAACTGAGCTACACAGGCGCCCCTTAATCTTTTTTGATGCTATTTTAAATGGAGTTATGTTCTTAATTTAATTTTAGGATTATTTATTGCTAGTGTATGTAAATATTTACACAGTATTTTTACATATTTTTTATTGGCAGTTTAAAATCATTTGCATATAATTTTACTATATTGATCTTGTATCCAGTAATCTTGTTTAACTTGTTTCATGGTTCTACCAGTTTTTTAAGTGGATTCCTTGAGATTTTCTTTTTTCTTTTTTTAATTTTTTTTTTTAACATTTATTTATTTTTGAGACAGAGAGAGATAGAGCATGAACGGGGGAGGGTCAGAGAGAGAGGGAGACACAGAATCCGAAACAGGCTCCAGGCTCTGAGCTGTCAGCACAGAGCCCAACGCGGGGCTCGAACTCATGGACTGTGAGATCATGACCTGAGCCGAAGTCGGACGCTTAACTGACTGAGCCTCCCAGGCGCCCCTCCTTGAGATTTTCTATCCACAAAATCACACCTTCTGCTAATAGAAATAGTTTTACTTCTCTCTAATATGAAGACTTTTATTTCATTTTCTTGCCTCATTGTGTTAGCTAACACCTCCAGTATAATGTTGAATAGAAGTGATCAGAGAAGACATCATTGTCTTGTTCCTGATCTTAGGGGGAAAACATTTTACCACAAAATATGCTGCTAGCTATGCATTTTTTTTTTCCCAAAAAATACCCTTTATCAGACTGAGGAAGTTCCTTTCTATTTCTAGTTGTTGAGTGGTTTGATCATGAAAGAGTGTTTGACTTTATCAAATGCTGTGTGTGTGTGTGTGTGTGTGTGTTGTGGTTTTTGTCCCTTATTCTTTTTGTCCATTATTCTAATATAGTATATTACATTGATTCATCTTGAGATGTTAGAACAACTTTGAATTCCTAAGGTAAGTTCCACTTGGTCATGGAGTCTAATCCTTTTTGTATTTTGCTGGGTTTGGTTTGTTAGTATTCTGTCAAGGATTTTTGTGTCTGTATTCATAGTATTGGTCTATAGTTTTTTGTGGTGTCTTTGTCTTGATTTAGTATCAGGCTGATGCTGAGCTTAGACTAAATTGGGAAGTGTTTGCTCCTCTTCCATTTTTTAGAAGAGTTATTTAGGGAAGGGAATGACAAGTGTAGTGGGAGGAAGTGGGGCTTATTGGAGAACCTGAAGAAAAGCCATTATGCTTGAAGCCTGGAAAGCAGTGGGGCCTGGTGTTGGAGGATCTGGGCTAGAGAGAAATTTCTGGATGGTGATTAATGTATCAGAGGAGGAAAGAAGAGGAGAGAGCCTTGGGCTAAACATGGAGAAAGTCCAGTTGCGGGTGGAGGATGAGCCACAGAGCAGGATGGAAGGAACAAAGGCAAAGAGATGGGAAGACAGGAGAGTGGTTCCCTGGAAAGCAAACAAAGGATGGCAGAAGAAGGAGTTTCTAGAAGTCGTATGCTAGAGTGATTGAGTTGGTGGAGATGAGGAAATGAACCAATTTAGACTTTTGAGAATTTTGTGGATAGGAGAGGAGACTGGCTGTGGGGAGTGCAGGTGTCAAAGATTTTCATTTCACTTTTCTTTCTTTCTTGACAACCTTTGCTTGAGAGAGAGAGAGAGAGAGAGAGAGAGAGAGAGAGAGAGAGAGAGAGAGTGCTTGCACACGGGAGCCAGGGAGGGGCAGAGAGAGAGGGAGAGAAAGAATCCCAAGCAAGCAACGTGGAGTCCAATGTGGGTCTCAACTCATGAACCATGAGATCATGACCAGAGCTGAAATCAAGAATCTGTTGCTTAACCAGCTGAGCCACCCAGGCACCCCACTTTCTTGACAACTTTAAAAAAAAGTTTATTGGGGCGCCTGGGTGGCGCAGTCGCTTAAGCGTCCGACTTCAGCCAGGTCACGATCTCGCAGTCCGTGAGTTCGAGCCCCGCGTCGGGCTCTGGGCTGATGGCTCAGAGCCTGGAGCCTGTTTCCGATTCTGTGTCTCCCTCTCTCTCTGCCCCTCCCCTGTTCATGCTCTGTCTCTCTCTGTCCCCAAAATAAATAAACGTTGAAAAAAAAAAAGTTTATTTAATTTTGAGGGGGGGGGAGAGAAGGAGTGGGGGAGGGGCAGAGAGAGAGAGAGAGAGAGAGAGAGAGAGAGAGAGAGAGGGACAGAGGATCCAAAGAAGGTTCTGTGCTGACAGCAGAGAACTCCATGCAGGGCTCGAACTCACAAACCATGAGATCGTGATCTGAGCTGTAAGTTGGACAGACGCTATAACTGACTGAGCCACCCAGGCACCACTTCTTGACAACTTTTAATGTTGATATGATTTTATACCTTCAAAAAATTGCAAGACTTGTACAAGGAACTCCCAAATAGCATTTTCCATATTCACCAGCTGTCTGTACTTGCCCCATCAATTTACTTTACCATTCTCTCTCATACACACACACACACACACACACACACACACACAGAACACTATTTGAGAGTGTGTTGTGCACACCTTTCCCCGTACCAATTAATGTTTGAGTGGCATTTCCAAAGAAGAAGGACATTCTCTTACATGCTAGGTTTTGTTGAAAATGGGAGCAATTTGGGCATATTGAAAAATCTAAGTGAAGATCCAGTGGGAGAGAAGTGAGAGAAGGGGTTGTTGTCACTGAGGGCTTGTTGAAGGGTCTAGAGAGCAGGATTTAAGGTGCAGGTGGAGGGTTGGACTTTGCCACAGGAGGGACAGCTCTGTGTTGTGAAGAGGAGTGAAGCAGTGTGCAGACGTCGGAGACTTTGTTCTGCTTGACGGGTGGTGGAGGAAGTTCCTCTCTGCTGGATTCTGTTTCCTTTGTCAGTTAGGAAGTGAGCAGATCTACTGAAAAGAGCAGGAAGGCGTGTGACAGATGGGAAGCGTCTGAGTTGAAGAAGACAGGAGAAAGCACAAGAGTCAAGGAGAGGGGAAGAGGAAGTAATGAGATAAACATCTCAAGATTCATGTGGCCAAACAGCCCATTTCTAGTTGATGTTTATTCAGTTAGAGTGAGCCAGCTTGCTCTATTCAGTGACTCATGTCTAGCCCTGCAGAGGGGGGAGAGAAACTGTGTTCATCTACGCGAGGGTTTTGCCAAATGGGTGTGATAAAAGAACACAATGGTTCGGGAAGGGAAGTTTAGGGTACTGACAAGATAATGGACTATAAAATACACTGGATAAGAATGAAAGAAGTAAGATGGCTACTGAATGGGAAATAGAAGGGCAAATGGATAGGAGGTAGACTGGGAAGATGGAAGCCTGTAAATTGTTTTCTAATTATTACTACTTGACTTATTGGATCTAGATATTATTGAGCATGCATTCTCTACTGAGTATTTTCCATCCATTAATTTCATATAATTCCTATGACAACCCTATGAGGTAAGCACAGGCATCAAGCCATTTTTATCGATAGAGGAAACAGACGTTAGTGACTTGCCCAAGGTGACACAGCTAAAAAGTGAGTCTCTAACTTCAGAGACCCTGCGTATCTCTGGACTGCTCTGCAGAGCTTCCCAGCTGTGCTCCTTGCTCCACTTTGATCCTCCTCTGACTCACGCTTCACTTAGCTAACAGTGTGAGCATTTGGAAATGCAAATTGATTGTACCGGGCACTAACTCAGAACCTTTCATTACAGGTCACTGGAAATAGGTAAAAAAAAGAAGAATTAAAGATGAATAAAGACTTGGACAGGTGGATAGTTTTATGATAAAGAAAATCATAGTATGATGTTAATTGTGAAATCTAGACGGTAGCTATAGGAATGTTCATCAGATAATTCTTTCCAGTTTTCTTTATGTTTGAAACTTTTCACTGTAAAAACATGAAGGGAGGGAAGACCTTTGGCTGAAAAAAGAGATGCAGCTAAACAGCTTTTTATCTGAGGACCCTGACTGACTTGGATTTATAGGTTGGTAAGAATCTGTAGTCATGGGAGAATGGCTGTCTTCTCTCGGTAAGCAGGTTTTGATGTACCGAGAGACATCTTGTGCCTGTGCCCCTATGGTATTGGAAAAGAACACTTAGATTGTATAATTAGAGCCTTTTTTGTTTTTTTAAGTTTTATTTATTTATTTTGAGAGAGACAGAGACAGGGCAAGTAGGGAAAGGGCACAGAGAAAAGGAGAGCGAGAATCCAAAGCAGGCTCCACACTGCCAGTGCAGAGCCCGATGTGGGCTTGAACCCATGAAACCATGAGATCATGACCTGACCGAAACCAAGAGTTGGAGGCCTTAACAGACTGAGCCACCCAGGTGCCTCGGCCCTTTTTTTTTTTTTTTTTTTTTTTGAAAGATCCTTTTAAGCAATCTCTACACACAATGTGGGGCTCAAACTCACAACCCTGAGATCAAGAGCCGCATGCTCTCTTGACTGAGCCAGCCAGGTACCCCAAGTACTTTTAAGAGAGGAAAATAAGCTCTTCTGGAGAAGAAAGTGGAACCCTGTGTTAAAAGTTTTAGGGCAGAGATAATCAATGCATCGTACTTGTCAGCTTAGGTGGTTACAGGCCATAGGAAGGGTCTCATCTGTACCTATTACTTGCTTTCTCCTGGGCAACTTCAGAATTCCAAAGAATGTTTTGCATGTACAGTTTCTTACTTTGGAATAAACCAGATTCTGCCTTTCAGTAGACTTTCTTTTTTCTTTCTTCCTTCCTTCTTTCCTTCCTTTCTTCCTTTTTTTTTTTTTTTTTTTTTTTTTTTTTTTTTTTTGTTCAAATGCCCAGTTTGGAATATATTTGACATTTAATACCAGTGATTTCTAAAAGAAAAGACAGATATCACATCAATCTGCTGCTTGTATCACTAATGACACTCTTGCCTGACGGTCAATGTCAAGGCTCCTTTTCAGGCAGGCAGGATGTACTGCTGTCCTTCACGGAACTATTTTTTCCCTTCCAGAAGCCTCCAGAGCAGTGTTTGTTAACACGAGGGGAGAAGGAAGAGACACAGATGCCTGTGGCGGAGGTGTTTGATGAAACTTCAGGCTTGGTTGGCTAATGTAATATGTGTGAAGAGACAGGATGTGCTTGCTTCTTTGGGAACCTTGATCCCTCTGCTTCTTTCAGAAGCAATCAGCTGCTTGCTCTCTTGGCTCACTCTCTGCATGGGCGAATGTCCACAACAGCATGCGACCATTGTCCTCAAACGAGGAATCTTGCCAGGCCTCTCTGTTGATTTGTTTTTATACACACCCTATCTTTGCCTGATAGGGTGGTCCTTTGGGCTGTGCAGACACCGGAGGCTGGGAGGTCTGGGAGGTGGGTTCATTCCAGACTGGCATTTTCTAGATGAAGTTTCTTTGGGCAAGTTACTCGACTTCTCTCTGTGTCTGACTGTCTGATTGTAAATGAGGGTCGTGGTAGGATTGCCTGCTTCATGGGGCTATTGCAGATGAAGCTCTTCGCACAGTGCTTGGCACCCAACAAGCACTGGATAAATGTTATCTACCCTTATTATTATACTGTTCCTGTTATTCTGAAATTGCTTGTTTCATTCAAACATATGTCTTTGAGATCTTTCAGGGTCCAACTGTCATCTTAACAGCTGTACAGTATTCCATAATTTGGAATACCACCCCCTCCGAAAACTATTCCTTCTCTAACGCAGTTAGATAAACTAACCCGGTCATTAAAGCTGCCATTCCTCATTGACTCTCTTTCTCTTTAGCCCCTTTGCCTGTTCAGTGATGAAGTTCTACTCTCATTTTAGTTCCTACATATGTTCTTAATCTGCCCCCTGCTCTTGATTACCCTACCCTAGTTCACATGCTCCTTGTCTCTCACCAGGACCATGGCAGCTGAATGAATTCCTGTTGCTTCTAAGATTGCTGGCCACTGGGCTGAAGCCCTATAAAGTCATCTCCCATCCAGCTGCCAAATCTGCAGATCTGACCGTGTAAACTCCTCTGCATGGCACATGGCGGCCCACGGCAGTCATGACGCGTGGTGTTGGCTACAATATGATTTATTGATTACAGAAATTTATGAGGCAGAGAGTTGCAGAGGGTTTAGGCTCTCCCCAGGCCCGTAGTTATTTTATAGAGAGGTGGGCAGAGCTGAATGCACTGTAAAGAACCTTCCAACAGAGAATCCAGTACCCACAAGTAGATCGGGGTCTACCTGGGGAGGGAGGATGAGGAACACCTAATTTTATTTTATTTTATTTTATTTTTTTTTTGGAACACCAATGTAACAAGAAATGTCCAAGTGATGAACCCAATAAAGCACCTTTGTGGTCTCGAAAGCTCAGCCGGAGCGTTTGTGCATCCAAGTGGCTATCAACAGCCAAGCCTCGCTGTCCTTCCCAGAGTTGGGAACAGAAGAGCCCCACGGCCATCCAGCTGAAACCACAAGGTTTGTCTCTCCCCAGTTACCCGTGTGCGATTGTTCTTTGACTCTCACTTTAAACTCCCAGCACCCCATGGCACTTGTGGTTGCCAAAGCTGGTTCTACTTGCATTTGCGCTGTCCCCCAGGCATTGGCCTGGCCTGTCCCATGCTTGGAGATGACCTTCTCCAGAAAACTTACTGTTGCTTTCTGGGTTCTTCTCTGTCTTGTCGTCGTGTTTACATGGTATGTTGGTGCGTCTGCATCATCCCAAACTGTGAGCAACTTGAAGGAAGGGTCTATTACATTCACCTTTGTATACCCAGGGCCTGGCGTGTTAGATCATTGGCTGAATGCATGTTTGATTAGGCCACAGATAAAAATACAAGTCACCCGTAATCTCACTAGTCAGCAATTAAACCACTGAATTAATTACCATTGAAGTTTATTTGGGATTTATCCTTCCAGATGCTTTTTTTCTAGCTATAGATATGTGTATTTCTCACTTACACACACACACACACACACACACACACACACACACACCCCACACATGATTCTGCATTTTATAAAGTCTGGATCAAACCCTACCTATTGTTTAAAAATCTTTTTTCCACATAATGTATCACAGACAGTCTCTCTTCTCATTACATATTCTTGTAGTCCTTGGATTATCGTGTTTCACAGTGCTTCATCCTTATCAGACATGCGGTTTATTCTCCAGCTGAAATTGTTAATCTTTCTGTGTCGAGAGTATTTGTTTCTCATGATGAAGAAACATGGTAAACAAATACTGGGTCTAAAGTAAGCACAAGGAAGACTGTTACTAATGGGAAAGTATTTTGGCCAAAGCGTTGTTTGGCCTTTAAGGCGCTGGGACTTTAGTCCTTCAAGCTGTGACTGAAATGGGGGCCTCCTCTTAGGCAATGCCTCTTGTATTGAATTATTTTCTCCACAGCAGGACTATGGCGACCCAGGAAGCCACTCCAGGCAGCCAGTCCGAGGAGAGCAGTGCCTTGGATTTGCCAACAGTTTATGACATAAGAGATTATGTGCTGCAGAGACCCCACCAAGAGGCCGACAGTGAGGCTTTTAGTTCTGTAGAAGCCCTTTCTAGTCCTTGCTCTTCTGATGCAGATCCAGGTAAGAAACAGGGTTTAAAACAAGCTAACACTGACACCCCCCCCCCCCCCCCCCATACATACAGGTATGTGGTTGTTTGTTTCTCTCTTTTCCAATAGCACCTCTCTGAGGAATGATTCATTGTCTCGGGTAGAAAAACATCTTATCTAAGCACAACTGTGGGGAGAGACTTCAAAGGACAAGCTCCCTGGTGTAACCACAAGGAGCTATTTCCTGGAGGCCTTTTTGTCTGAGGACCTTTCTAATCTCCATCCAACTGCATTCAGAGGTTCAACAGGGAGAGGGTGGAATTGAATTTTGTTTTGTTCTTTTAAAACTTCAGAAAGTTGGGGTGCCTGGGTGGCTCAGTGGATTAAGCATCTGACTCTTGATTACAGCTCAGGTCATGATCTCATGGTTTGTGAGTTTGAGCCCCACGTTGGGCTCTGTGCTGACAGCATGGAGCCTGCTTGGGATTTTCTCTCTCCCTCTCTCTCTGACCCTCCCCTGCATACACTCGCATGAGCACGTGCACACTCTCTCTCTCTAGAATAAATAAATAAATTAAAAAATAAAATAAAAACTAAAACTTCAGAATGCAGCAATGTGGGCCTGTTAAATGTTACAGGTGACAGTAGTAGGGCACTCAGTATTCCTCGTATAGAGTATACTCTGCATTTGGGGAACAACTTTTCTACAAGTTTCCCTGACTGAATTGCCAGAAGGTTTATTATTTAAGCTTAATGATGATTGTTGACGCAGTTACTGACCATCTCTAGTTGTAAAGCCCTTGTCTTTCCCATTCTTTGCCCAGTCCAGACCTGGGGGTCCACAGACCTGGGCCCAAAGCTCTCCCACTTACTGGCTCTGGGACTTGGGGCATGTTTCTTAATGTCTCTGAGCTCTGTGTACTTGACATCATCATTTAGATTTCTGTTAGACTTCTGGAATTTGATATATCCTAAAGCAAATTGTTAATTCCTCCACCCCCTCCCCAGTCCATTTCCCCTTGTATATACACACCTGTTCGTTGACCCTTTCTCATCTTTAAAAAGCATTTTTACCCATCCATTCACTTAGGCCCAAACTTTGGAGTCATCCTCAACCTCTCTCACATCCAGTCTATCACTGTCAGCTTTACTGCCAGAGTAAGATCTAGAATCTAAACCGTTTTGCCACCCCCTCTGCTGCCACTACTGCCTGTCTTCTGGATTATTGTTACAAACTCCTAACCAGCTCTTTCCATACCTGCCCTTGACCTCCTACACTCTCTTCTCAACACATCCACCAGAGGATCCTTTTAAAAATGCAAATCAGATCATGTGAGTCCTTGGTGCAAAACTCCCATGGCTTCTCATCTGTCTCAGAGCAAAAGCCAAAGTCCTATGGCACCCATGCCCTCTGGACCCTGGGTCTGCCATGTCTCTGCCCTGACCTCCTACTGTTCTTATCCTCACTGGGCGGGGCCTCTGCCTCCCACCTCTAAGAGCCAGCCACCCTCCTCCCTGCTGACGTTCTTTGTTGTACCCTTCCCTGGCTTTATTCTTTGCCTCGGCAGGAATGCCACTGGGCACCCTAGATTTGACTTTAATTGATTCATCTCCCGAAATATAAATTCCAGGTACTCAATAGATACTTGTATGAGGAATGAATGGGTGAATGTTAACTGCTATTGGTATTTCATTAAGAGATATGCTTGTATGGATGTAGGGCTGAAGCTGATCCCAACGTAAAAACATCTCTGGTCCCCTCTCCACTGCCCACACATGTAGCTTAAGGCTGGTTAGGAGTAACTTTGGAAAGTTCCATGTATAAGGAGTGGGAGTCATAGGCAGCACTGAATCAGGTGAAGCCTGAATTTAGCCCCATAGCACAATCAGTGTTGGAGGAGATTGTCAGATTGCATCTGCCTCCCAGAAGAAAAGTCAAAATGTGTAATTGATGGAGACATGGCCCAACTGTCAGCCATTAACGTGTGCAAAGTGCGTTATCAACTATTGTGCAGTGATATAAATCCTGAGCCACTTCTGCTAGGATAGAACACATGCACCCCAAACCCAAGTGGGTCCAGTCCAACTGGAGGCCCAGTTCTCACTTTGTCTTCTCCTTGCTTGGGCCTCCACCCCATTCCTATGTGCCCTGGGCCTTCATATGTCTCCCTTCAGAGCCTCCCCAAAAGACAATTTGAAACTTGGACTCAGAGACAAATAGCTTCAAGTGTCAGCTTTTCTAGGATGATCTTCATTTAAGAATACCTAGCCTTAACCTTAAAGAATAGTTTAATTTCAGGAATCGAGGATAGGTAGAAGAGAGATTGGGGAACTCTGTCTGTCTGATGTTCCTAAAATGCATCCAATTTATGTTTTCCACCCTTACACATTCTCACACCCCCCCTCTGCACCCTACCCCCCAGTTTGACCTTTCCAAATGGAGCCATTTCTAGCATCCGGTAGTCTTATCTCCTCCTTCTTCCCTGTGGCCATGCCTCCTGATCTGCAGCATGTGTTTAAAACACTCATGTTGGTTTGCACATACTACCTTAACGAAGGTTCTGTGGTTACTTTTCTCTGCAGAGCTAGACATCGGAATGTCTTAGAATACAGGAATAATGATCACTCCTATTTATGGCAGCCTGGCTGCCTGTCAGGTTTTTTGTTGTTGGGCTCCATGCTAAGTGGTTCACAAAGATTGCTACTTTTAATTCTTACCACAAACCTGAGAAGCAGAAAGCAACCCTATTTTATAAATAAGGAAATGTAGATGTGGAGACATTAGGAAGCCTGCCCAGTGTTACTTAATAAATGGCGGAGCTGGGCTGAGCCCAAAGGCACTGTTTTAAATCACATTTTTATTGGAAAAAAGTTGCTTTTTCTAACCTGGAAAACAACCAAATGGATGATATCACTGAGATAAGGAATTTCCCAGAAATGAATCTAGGCAAGTTTGTTAGCTTGATACAGCAAACAACTCATTTTTGGAGGGGGGCAGTTTTAGGGAGGAATATTAAGTTTTTGATACTATTTTATTCAGACTTACATATTTAAAAGCAATCTTAATTTTGTGGTACAGTCCACCTTTCTGCAGTACTTTTGTATACTCACGATACTTGTTATGGTTGCTTAAAATTGGACCAGATCGGGGCATCTGGGTGGCTCAGTCGGTTACGTGTCTGACTTCGGCTCAGGTCATGATCTTGCAGTTTGTGAGTCTGGCCCTGCGTCAGACTCTGTGCTGACAGCTCAGAGTCTAGAGCCTGCTTTGGATTCTGTGCCTCTCTCTTTCTCTCTCTCTCTCTGCCCCTCGCCCACTTGCACTCTTTTTTTCTCTCTCTCGAAAGTAAAAATAAATATTCAAAAAAATTTAAAAAATAAAATAAAATAAAATAAAATAAAATTGGACCAGATCACCTAGAGCTTCCCAAGAACTGAGTGGAAATGATATCCGAAAGATATCATGATGGGAGCAGGGATTACGCTAGGATCCAATGGAAGGCAGCCACCTTTACATTTAGTAGCTTTGTAGCAGATAGCTTATGGTAGGCAGGAATAAATGCACTCAGGTGTATCCACCACAAAAGGAACTTCATTCTGATCTCACTAAGTGAAATTTACACAGCATGGGAAGCTATTTATTTTGTTATAAACATTTCAGAGTTGCCTTTTGTGAGAAAGAGATTTTTACTAAGTAAATTTAGGAAAGATTCTCACTGGTAATCCGACCATTACCAGCCAGTGAAATGGCTGAGGTGGACGGTCCTACACTGTGGGGGAAATCACTGCCCTAACCACCCAGCCTGATTTGCTCTTGGCTGACCATCTTGCACCTCCAGTTTCTCAAAACTGTCTGTGGTCTTGAGTTTTGATTTTCTATTTATAAGGAGGACCTGGGGTGGGGGGGTGCCTGGGTGGCTCGGTCAGTTGAGCCGCGATTTTGGCTCAGGTCATGATCTCATGGTCTGTGGGTTCGAGCCCTGCATCGGGCTCTGTGCTGACAGCTCAGAGCCTGGAGCCTGCTTCGGATTGTGTGTCTCCCTCTCTCTGCCCCTCTCCCGCTCATGCTCTGTCTCTCTCGCTCTCAAAAATAAACAAACATTAAAAAAAATACATAAAATCTTAAGTAAATAAATAAATAAATAAATAGGATCCGGGGCACCTGGGTGACTCATTCAGTTACGGGGCCGACCCTTGATTTTGGCTCAGGTCATGATCTCATGGTTCATCGTGGGCTAGAGCCCCGTGTTGGGCTCTGCACTGTCAGCATGGAGCCTGCTTGGGATTCTCTCTCCCTCTCTCTCTCTGCCTCTGCCTGGCTCTCCCTCTCTCTCCCTCTCAAAAATAAATAAACATTTAAAAACTAAAATTTAAAGAAGTATATATAAGTAAGATCCACTTTCCTTCCCTTCACTGCACGCTCATAGGTAGTTGTAATTACAGATTCTCTCCCCCACAGCCCTTCAGCAGATTTTGCCCACATTTTAATCTAGTTCGGATAACTCTGGATCTGTTGTTTGCTCAGAGACACGGCCTACCTTTACATTGGTCTCCGTTGGTGTTCTGATGGCTACTGTTCTAGCTCTGCTTTTTAACATATCCAGCTCCCAAGCCAACTTGCATTCTTGGCTTGCTTGTTTGCTGTTGTGTTTTGTAAGGAAGTTGATCTTCTAGAGATTGGTGAACACAGTCAAAGTTTTCCAGCTGATAGTCACCCAAGGTATCTCAGCATTGGGCTGCACCCAGCCCTAGTACTCCCTTACTGTTGGTTGCACTTAGATAGCCTGTGCTTACCTCAGAGTATGGTTGACTACCTCAAGAACTGATGGAGTATGGCAGGTTGCTTACAGAGGTCTGAGGGTGAACCTGAGGGTGAACCTGAGAAGACCTGGCTTCTCTAGCTACTGGGTGAAATAGGAGCCAGGAACTGACCCTTAAGATTCAGTCAAATTAGCCCAGTTGTCAAAACCTATGGTTAAAATTCAGACACACAGTTAGCAAGGAGATGGGGTCCACGATGATGGTGTAGAA